ACCCGAACCCCTAATAAGGGGAGAATGTCGGTGATTATGCTCGCGGATGACCTGGAGAAGAAGCCTGGGTTGTAGTGCTGTCCATGAACGAAGGACTCGGTTGGAGGCATCCATATTCGGGGAAGGGGGGTTTAGGGTTTAGGGCTAGACCCAAGAGTAACCTAGGAATGAAAAAGGCGCACTGTTTTGGTTTCAAGGGGGCTTAGAACGGAACCTTTGCCCTTGCAAAAGGGAATGGGGGCCTACTCTGAGTACCAGGCCTTGGCTTGGGCGAACCAAGAAGAATAAACCTAAACCCTAAGCCCTAAACACTAAACCCTCAACCCTAAACCCTGAACCCTAAACCCTGATCCCTGGACCCTAAACCTAGACAAGCCTCAGAGAAACAATGCTCAGGAGTCCGAAGCCGGGAGTCTAGGGTTCCAGGGTTTTGTTCTTCTCCTCTACCGCTGAGGGTTTATGATTTAGGGTTATCAAAGCCGCACTAGTCGATCGAACCGGGCAGTTTTATCCCTAAACGTCTTGGGGGTCCAGGGAGTCCGATACACCTTTTTAAGGGTTTAGGGCTTCGGGTTTAGGGTTAACACTACCCCCAAACATCGCCTCAGAAGTGCTAAGTTTTGAGAGGGCACAGGGTTGTTGTCATAGGTGCTGAGTAGGGCCTCTAGCCCTCTTTAAAATTCTTCCGGCTAGAAAGCTCATGAAAACCAGTACGCCATGGGCTTGGGGCTGCAGAATTTCCATGTTCGAAGCCCTGAACCCTTAACTTAACGTAACCCCTATATGCCTAAGTAGCCCCTAAACGCTAAACCCTAAACCCCCTCGTAAGGGTCCCCACCTTTGGTCCCTTGAAACTGTCAAACCTAACCTTGCGTAGTAGGGAATGAGGGAATGATGTACCCTATATCCCCCTTTATATACCCTTTAAGGGAATTATTTTGGGTACCTCATTCCCTCCCTCCCTACTAAGCAACAGCAAGCTAGGTGGAACCGCTCGGTGCAGAAGAGCTACGACAAGGAGATGAATACGTTTTCGGAGTACCGGCCCTGGACCAGTGCACCCTAAACCCTAAACCCTAAACCCTAAACTCTAAAAGTTAGGATGTTCCCCCTTATACTGACAGTCCTTACTAGGGCTTCTAGTACCCCAATTATGGTCCCTATTAAGAAGTGTTAGTATAAGGGGGAACATCCCAATCTATAAGCTAAACCCTAAACCCCAAACCCCACACACCAAACCCCAAACCCCAAACCCCAAGCCGATAGGCCCTTAAAAAGACTTCATGGGGTCTAGGCCGCAGCCTCAAGCGTGCCGGGCTGGGGGGCCGGATGCCTTCGTGCTGTGGCAGTCTAGGGTTTAGGGTTTAGGGTTTAGGGTTTAGGATTTAGGGTTTAGGCTTCAGGCTTCAGGCTTCAGGCTTCATGCTTCTACCCAGGCGCCAAACAAGCGATTGGCCCCAGCAGCTAGAGCTCAGCTAGGCCTCACGGTTGCCACGACCCTACACGACGCAATGTCCCAAGCCTTTGTTGTAGAATCCTGAAACCCTAAACCCCAAACCCCTAAACCCTAAACCCAAAACCCCTAAACTTCGCCAAAATGTTCGGGGATCTTCGAAGGGGCCACCTAAGCCCTGAGCCCCTAAAACCTCTAAGCCTCGCCCTGAACCCACACATCATGAGGTGGAGGGGGGGGGGGGGGGGGAGGGTTTAGGGTGCGGTTTGGGGTTTAGGGTTTAGGGTTCAGGGTTCAGGGTTTAGGGCTGTTCCAAACATCGAACAGCGGACAGGGCAAGGTTAAACCATGTGTGAAGGCAATGTTAGGGCATCCCGTCTCAATGTCATCAACTCCCGGTGTGCTTTCTACAGCTCTAAGAGCGTACGAAGTGAGATCTCGGCAGCAACGAGCCCGGAAACAAAAAATGTTCAGGGCTTAGGGCTTAGGGTTTAGGGATGCACCTTTCCTAATGCATAAACTTCACGTTATCAAGGCAGAGACATGTAGACGCAGAAAGCCTAAACCCGAAACCTTCAAAAGGACCCAATATAGGGGTCGGAACAATTACTAATAATATTCCTTCATGGCCCCTTTTATAACTATACTGCAAGAACCCCCCCCCCTCCAACAAACAAAATCCTATTCTATTGATTCAGGCTCCTGCATTACAGTTCAGATTAAATCTTGCTTCTGCAACGTTCAGCTCATGTCCCATCCCCTGCAATCGGACACTTTCGTTTGGACAAGGTTGGGGCTTGAGGAGGGACGATTTGGGTTTGGGGGTTTACTACCATCTGCTTAAGAACCCCCCCCCCCCCCCCACCCAAAAATAAAAGAATAGCAATCCCTATATTCATGTTTGTTGGTGGTTCTTGTCAAATAGTAGTTTAGGGTTGAGGGCTTTGGGTCAGGGGGGCAAAAAAGCTTTCGCAGAATGTTGGTTGAAGCCCTGCTGTCGCAAGCACCCAGCTTCCCTAAACCCTAAACCCTAAACCTTAAACCCTAAACCCTAAACCCTAAACCCTAAAACCCTAAAACCCTAAACCCTAAACCCTAAAACCCTAAACCCTGAACCCTAAACCCAGTTTCGCCGAAGCCGTGGAGAGCGATCCGGAGTGCGTTCTCTACAAGGACGCAAGCATCAAAGACATCTTGAACAGGGTGCCTTGTCTGAAGTTTAGGGCTTAGGGCTTAGGGTTCAGGGTGTAGGGTTTAGGGAACTGCCCCAAGACCCCAAGACCCCAAGACCCCAAACTCTAAACGAGGCACAAGTCCTAACCCTAAGCCTTAGCGGCCTTTCTTTACTACACTTTGACATAGCCGTCCAGGGGCTCACTTCCAACTGTGCTAGCTGAAGAGCCAACCCCAAACCCTAAACCCTAAACCCTAAACCCTAAACCCTAAACCCTAAACCCTAAACCCTAAACCCTAAACCCTAAACCCTAAACCCTAAACCTAAAACCCTAAACCCTAAACCCTAAACCCTAAACCCTAAACCCTAAACCCTAAACCCTAAACCCTAAACCCTAAACCCTAAACCCTAAACCCTAAACCCTAAACCCTACACCAACACAGCTTCGGCTTGCCTTTCCGATGCGAGTGTCTTGTTCCGCACCATGCCCAAAAAGCCTAGTGCAGCTCTACACAGCATAAGGTAGGGTTTAGGGTTTCGGGTTCCGGGTTTAGGGTTTAGGGTTTAGGGTTTAGGCTTTCGGAATAGTTACTAATGCCCTATGGTCCCTTTGTAATTATACTAAATAGTAACCCAGAAAGTAAAACAATTACTAGTATTATTTCCTTAGGGTCCCTTTACAATTCTGCTAGAATAACCCCCCCAAAAAACCCTATAACAATGATTCATGCCCCTATATTGCACAACATAACGGAACACGACGCGCCGTCACAGGCGTTCGTGCCCTGTGCCAACATGCCCCAAACACTGGTATTTTGCAGCTCGCTGGCTTGTTTGCACACCAGAATGCCCCAGGACATGTTGATGGCAATGATGATGATGACGATTGTTGATGACATCATTAATGGCAATGGCAAACATCTAGGCAAACATGCAGTAGTTTCCGCGTACATGATTAGTGCTTTTCAAGTATGCCTTTGTCCAAAAAATGCACTTTGAAGCCCTCCTGACCACCAGGCGCCCTGTGCGACCGCACCCCCCTTCTTGCGCTTAAGAGTATCCTGTTTGGGATTCTTCTTCTGAGGGTTTTCAAGGGATGGGGGCTAAAGGTACAATAGGGGCCAGTGTCTTTGGGCTTTGATGTGGGGAAGAGATGCGACCTCTCCAGTCTGTGCACCAGAATGACGTGATTTGGGCTGAGGGCCTAGAGTCTAGGTGTCGTCTGATTGTCACGTCGCTACCGAAACACTCAACCTTTGTAATCGCATGCCCTCGCCCTGAAGCCCCGAAACGCTTATAAACCCTAAGCCCCCTAAGGCCCGCAACCCTTCAAGCCCTGTGTAACCCCCAAGCTCACAACCCCTGAATCCCTAAACCTGAAACCCTAAAACCCTAAACCCCTAAAAACACCTAAAAACCCCTTAAAAACCCTAAAAACCCCTAAAAACACCAAAAACCCCTAAAAACCCCTAAAAAAAAACCCAGAAACCCCTAAACCCTAAGCTGAATTCCGAGCTCGAGGCCAAAAACCCGCAGAAGTTCAGCTCCCCCTTGCTGACCCGCGGCTCATGGGTTCTCAGCGGTTCTCAAGGGTTGGAGTTTTGGTCAGTCGGGTTTTTCGGGGTGTTGGGGTTTGGGGTGTAGGGTGTAGGGTTTAGGGTGTAGGGTTTAGGGTTTAGGGTTTCGGCCGGCTCCTGCTGTGAGAGTGTACTTGGTAGAGGGTTTAGGCGGTTTAGGATTTTGGGTGGTTTTGGGTGTTTTGTGGTGAGGCGGTACGTAGTGTACTCATGAACTCTGCTCACTGAGAGAGGGGCCCGAATCCCTGCCCAATCCGAACTCCGAACATGAGGGAGTGTGCCAAAGGGCTGCTATGTCTTTTCTTGCGTTTGGGGCTCACCCGTGCGGGCCTGTCAGAGACGGAATGTTTAGCCCCCCTTAGTTCACTCGCAACATGGCAAGTTTCATCCGCGTCTTGAGCAAGATGAGTTCAGGACTTCAGGAGGTTGTAGAAAGCTATTGTTGGGCACTGGCAGGTTGCTTCCACCTAACTAGCACCTGCAGGTTCAAGTCCGAAACCCTTAGCCCTAAAGTCTAAACCCTACAAATCCTACTGAATAAGGCATCGTAGCGCCCCGGATCTCTGAATCCTTCAGCCCTCAACTCTGGGCTGATAGCAGCCCTCCAAACTCACAGGGCAGGCCCTCGGAACACTTCATACCTTATCTGTTCTGAAAATTGCAGAAAGTATGGGTACCCTCATGTAATCAGGATAACAATAGTTTGGAGGTATTTTTGGTAAACACGCAGTTGGTTTAAAGAGGCTCACATTTAGGAACCTTGTTCAAGCGGGCCTGAAGACCAACTTGCCCCAGGATGAACCATTTCGACCTCGAGATGGCTTCAGTGCTGACTGAAGTGCTGCAATCCTGGCAAGAGGAAGCACAAAAGACGTGGAACAACACGCTCGAGGCACAGGCGATGGGCCTGCATAAGGTCGGGTTTATTATGTAGGGTTTAGAGAATATGGGCTCCTTGTTTTTTCGGCCCCTGTGCTTGTAGAGAATAGGGTGGAGAAGGCTGTTTGCTACCCCCCCCCCCTTCCCAATAGCCTTAATGGAAAATCGGGGTTCGTACTCCTCCCCCCCGCGGGAACCGCAAGCCTGTAGAAGGCAGCCAGTCATTTGCTTGTTGTTGGGAGAACATTTGCCAATTCATCTTGAGCCTTTCGAAGGTGCGGTGCAGGGCTGTTGAGGGGGCGGGGATTCCAGGCGAGGACGCCTGCTGCAAAAGGGGCTAGGGTTGAGGCTTGAACATATGCCGCCTCAGACCGGAACAGCAATGCAAAGGGCCTGAAGCCCTGGAATTTTGTGTTTTGGGATACCCCTGGGCATACATACCCTTATAAGAAATCAAGGGCTGCGGTAGGATCCTCCCCCAGACTCCCTTAGAATCCCCTTCTATAGGTTAAGAGGTACGGGTTTTTTGGGTGTGGTGAATTATTCTTCGCAACCCCTTAACCCTGAAGGCCCCCAGCAAGAAACATCTAGACATGAAAGGCTGAAAGACACGAAGCCCTCGATCCTTCAGGGCCCTTGTATGTAGGGTTTAGGGTTGAGGGTTTAGGGTTTAGGTTAGGGTTTAGGGTTTAGAAAAAGGGAGCATGGAAGCATGGAAGAGTTCTTGGATCGACCGAGCCAACGTGCAGGCGGCACAGGACATGATCTTGAAAGCGGAAGGAGAACAAGCCGAGCAACTTGGCCTCCTTTGCCGGGCCTGGGCAGGGTCTAGGGTTGTTAGGTTTAGGGCTCAGGGTTTTTAGGGTTTAGGGGGTCCCCCCAGACCGCCTCCAAGAAAAACGTTCCAGTGAGCTGAAGTCAGTATCTGTCTCCAATGCAACGGCAGAGAGAGAGAGAGTGCTGGAATTATTTTGTTGACTTCAGGTCTAGGGTGTCCTACTCTCTCTCTCTCTCTTTCTCTTGCTCGCTCTCTCGCTCTCTATTTCCCTTTTTCTTTCTCTCTTCTCTCTCTCTCTCTCTGTGCATATATATATATATATGTACATACATCCAAAGTAGGTACTCAAATTTTCGGAACACCTCTGCAAATTAAGTCATAAATATATGTATGTATGTATGTATGTAGGTATGTATGTATGCATGCATGTATGTGTGCATGTATGTATGTGTATGTATGTATGTATGCATGCATGCATGCATGTATGTATGTATGTATACATATATATATATATATATTCTACTTATTTGTTTGATTGTTTGTATACTTACATGTCTATTGTATTCATCCTGCATGTCAGGAAAATTGCTCAACGGCCCATCTCGGGCTACGTCTCCTACTTGAAGGTACCTTGGCTGCTGCTGCCTGGACCGAGCGACAATCTTTTGTAACTAGTGATCGCTCACCCCCATGCCCTTCACCCGCTATGATGCTCAGGGTCCAGAGTTTAAGATGTCCAGAATCTACGGTTTATAGGGTTTAGGTCTACAGGACCTTTGTCTCTGCGTCCCAGCTCGTCTGGCTACATGAGGCCGAATGGAGTTGCCTCTCCAGGCCCTGCGTCCTGTGCGTGGAGCTTTCTTTACTGTATACTTTCGGAGGGAGAATGCGTTGTTCGCGCTCGCACTCACAGGCAGGCATGCCCTTCACGACGAAACAGTCGGTTCCGTGACAGCTTGCTGTTCTCTGTTGCCTAGTGAGCACTGTAGAAATTGTCCCTGACAACCTGGCTTCAACAGATTGCGGCCCTCATTCCAGCGTTGGTGCTGCTGACGGTCTTCCTAGCAGCCAAAACCAGATCCCATTAAACCCGAAAGCCACAACCTTTGAGTATCCTTGAGTATCCTTGAGTATCCTTGAGACAGATTACCAAGAGCCCAGGAGTATATCAAGCAAACAGCCGAAGTGGTGGCCCGCGTCTCCTGGGTGGCCTGGCAGTTTGCTGTGCTCATTTGGGCTTCGGATGGGTGGTGGGGTGGGTGATATCAGCACGTCGGAATTCGGGAGGGGGTTTTGGTCTTCCAGCCCAAAACCCCATCCTACATTCCAGGTAATATGCAGGGCCCGGAATTTGGGGGGCTTGTGGGAAACGGTAGACCCGGTAGACAAGGCTCTCACCTGCAAGCTCTTCCTCGAAGTTGTCGAATAGAGACATTGATGCTGTGCACTTCTCACTGGAGTCTCACCCTAAACCCTAAACCCATTTCAGTAAACCCTAAATTCAATATAAACCCTAAATCCTAAACCCCCAACCCCTAAAGCCTAGACCCTGAATCCCTAAACCCTGTCTGTTGTAGGTAAAAAAACTCAGCCCCGAACCCAAAAAACTGGGACGCTGGGTCTCGGAAGGGATATCATGAACAACTTCTTTGCGTCTTCGACCTCGCTCGCGATGAGCGAAAGCTGCCCAGGTGGCCCGCACGGAAGAGCAGGCAGATGTAGAGGCGCAGACGGACGTCTGTGCTGACGCAGAGGCACAGCCGGAGATCTGCCAGTATAGGGTTTAGGGTTTAGGGTTGAGGGTGTAGGGTTTAGGGTTTAGGGTTTAGGGTTTAGGGTTTAGCGCAAGTATCCGCGTCAGTGATGCTTCTGCTCCAGTGCCGGCACCTCAGAGAGCCCTGGTTTAAAACAAATTGGCAAGTATCCGATTTAGGGTTTGGGGTCTTTGGGCTTCGGCAAGAAGATCCTCAACCTCCTCAAGCCCAGCCTAAGAAAGCTAGGCCCTCAACGCGAAACCCTACTGTCAAACCCCCTACAACCAGTCATAAAACCCCCAAATCCTGGACTTCTGAAGCCTTAAAAGCCCTAAACCCTGAACCCTAAACACTTGGCACACCCTACCCCAAAAGAAGCACCAAATCGCAGGAGTCCAGAAGAAGAGTAGGGTTGTGCTAAATGACAAACCCGAAGCCCTAAACCCGAACCCTTGAACCCTAAACCCGAACCCCAAGCTCCAACGAAAGACGACGTTTCGACACCCTAAACTTTAGGCCCCAAACCCTCCACCCTGAAACCCCCGAAGCCTATCACCTATGACCTATAAACCCGAACCCCACAAGAACCCCGAGGCCCTATACACCTTAAACCCTAAACCCTTTAAAGGGAGAGCCCCCCCAAGGGCTGCCCAGCACCGCCACTTTTGTCCAGGAGGTCCAAGCCTCCTCCACCCCAGAGGATGTGGATCAGGCCTGGTTTTGGGTTTGGTGGTGGGCTGCTTGGGAATTTGGGGGGCGATGATGCAGGCCGTCGTGAGGAGACCTGCGGGAAAAAGGGTTTCTGCGTTTCCCTTTGTTTACATATTAACTACTACTTGCGTACTTGCGTAAGAACCACCCAAAAGTATAGTAAGAAGAAAGTTTCATGTTTTTGGGGGGGTGTTCTTAAGCACAAATGGGATGCGAGGGCGTCTAGGGGCTGGTGGGTAGGTTTTTTTTGCATTTTTTGGGGGGGTTCTGAAATCAAGGCTTGGGAATTTGTTGTGGCCTCCCGAAACCCCAAACCCATGTCATGTATGCTGCACTTTTATTGTCTGGCCTGTGCTGCTTGTTGCCTGAAATTTTGCATGAACTCATATATTCTGCCCAGGCCCTTCCAGCCATGCGGGTGGCAAAAAGACACCCTAACCCCCTAAACCTTAAACCGCACGGTGTGCAGTGATTTTGGCAGCCCATCTTGCTATGCTGAGGGTGAAGGAGCACGAGGGACGGCCCCACTCTAGCAAAGCCGGCCCGATGTATTAGGCTGCACGACTTCTACGAGAGCAATGTCTGCTGACATGCAAGACAGCTCCCAAAACCTTCAAGCCTCAACTTGCAGACTTAAGGATTTGCGCTTAGAGAGGGTTTAGGGTTTAGGGTTTAGGGTTTAGGGTTTAGGGTTTAGGGTTTAGGGTTTAGGGTTTAAAGCCCAAGCACGACCTCGGTTCCCCAAGCCTAAGCCAACCCAAACATCCGTAATATGGGGGCCTGAAGAATTAGAATAGGGTATTGGGGGGTTGGTATAGTATAGCCATACAGGGACCATAAGGGAATATTATTGAATATGACTAGCAATTATGACGACCCCTGTCGTAGATATCCCTGGTCAGCAAGGGCTTCTTGCTCTGGGATTGCCCCTTGCCGGAGTTATAAATTCAAAAAACAACGCACCCCCGAGCCTTGGACCCTTGTACCCTTGGGTTTGGGGGCCCGTTTTGCAAGATCCTCTCAGGGAATATACGGGCCATAGTTGGAGATTATGGGAACATCCTTAGGGGTCCGAGTAATTATGACTCCCTTGACAGCCCTTCAAGGCAGAGATCCCAAGCACACAAGCCCATCTCTGAAGATAGTGTCAAGCCGATGGATCCCTATTCAAACAGGCGTTTCGCCAAATCTGGGTACCCTCGTTTTTTTCTTGGAGGGGGGGCGGCGGAGGGGGGTCCTAGAATAAGGATTTTGATGTTTTGGGCATTAGGGGATGCTCCATGGACCATCTGCGCCAAGCCTTGGTTGAAGGTCGCTCGAACTTGTTGTTCTCTTTGGAGTCCCCTAATGACCCACCCAAAATGCAAATTATGCTGATTATGGGAACCTCCAAAAAGCGTTATTCACCCCCACCCCCCCCCCCCCCCCCGTTTTTCGGGCAACCTACTCTTGCATGGCGGGGGGGGGGGAGGATCAGCTTCATCGAAGTAGTCTGGGATGTTCCTCCTTATACTAACAGTCCTTCATAGGGGATTATCATAAAGAGAGGGGGGGGGGGTACTAGTTAGTATAAGGGGGAACATCCAAACGAGTAATCTCCTCAAGCCAGAAGCCGGCAGAGGCGAAGACGGCGAAGGGAGCTCCAGGGGACCATGCGGTGCGAGACCCAGCGTGGCTTCAATCACAAGGTCGATACGAGACCGCCTCCTAGAGAGTGAGGTTCCATTGCTTTTTTTGGGGGGGGGAGGAGGATATGAAAACTTGTACCTTTAAGACTTTAAGACGTTCTGAGGGGGTTATAGGATAAGAGAGACAAGGGTTTTCGGGTTGTAGACCACCGGAAGTAGACCGGTCCCGGGTAGCTGTCACTTGTCAGTGGGGCTGCCTCAGTGCACAGTGCTTACAAGTTGGCAACACTTTCCAGAAGCTTCCATGATAAGTTGGATGTTCCCCCTTATACCAACAGGGATTCTAGCATCCCCCCATGATCGTCCCTATTAAGGAGTTGTTCGAAAAAGGGGGAACATCCCAAATGGTAAGGCTTATTGAGAGGAGTGGAGTGCTCCTCGAAGCGATTAGCATTTATTCAACCAGCTCACGGGGATTCCTCAGTCTCCGCTGGTTTAGAGTTCTTAGGGTCTAGGGTTTAGGGTTTAGGGTTTGGGGTTCAGGGTTTAGGGCCACTCATGATAGCAGTCTGGATCCTTCTCACGCTTCCAGACTCACCCATTGAAACTCGGGCGCCTTAAACTTTGAAACTGTCGCTGCCATCACGGCAGAGACAGGGGGGATCAGAGGGAGGGCAGGGGAAGGCGGACGTAGAAGAGAGAGGTGGGGTGTGGGGGCAAGACCTTGGCTGAGGAGAGAAAAAGAACGCGGGCGAAAAGCGAGAGAGTTGCCTACTCTGGCGGCGGTCCAGTTAGGTGGATTCGAATGAGGATTGTCAGGTTTCGCGCGCAGTTCTGGGCTCTGGTGCTATGGCATGCAGGTGGGACTTCGGGGCGGGAGCATATCGGGGCCGGAGCAGTCGGGATGATGATGGGACACAGTTGGGATGTTCCCCCTTATGCTCACAGCTCCTTAATAGGGATTGTAAAAGGGTACTAGAATTCCGATTACGGACTGTTACATTTTGGGTTTTTGAAGGTCCGTTCCAAAGGTTGTCGAACTAAACCCTAAACCCTAAACCCTAAACCTTAAACCCTCAACCCTAAACCCTACACCCTAAACCCTAAACCCCTCAGCCCCTATTCATCAGCGCCTGTATCTTCCGAGGAGCCGGAGGAGGACCACCCCCCACCATACGAAGAAGAGGCCCAGGTCTGCGGGGGATGAGGATTCCGGAAGCCCCACAAGCCTGAAGTTTGTAAGAGTTTAGGGTTTAGGGTTTAGGATCCACTGGCAGAAGGGTTTAGGGTTTAGGGCTCAGGGTTCCTAACTCCTGAAAGTGCCTGAAAGTCATCTGTTCTAAAACCTGAGTCACCACCCAAACATTCAAAAACCAGGAGTAACTCGGCAGAACGTTCATATTCCTTCAACACGCCTTGGCTGTTTCAGAGTTGGAGGAGGTGTGGAGGGGGGAGGTGACCTATGTCCGTCAAGCAGAAGCTGGAGTTTTCTTTGTAGGGAGGGGCTTGGAAGGCCCAGTGGCTCAAGATCGGAGAAGGAATATGAGGTTGAGTGAGGTCTTGGAAAGTTCAGAGATGGGAGGGTTTGAGGTTCGGGGTGTCCCCTTGGCCTTTGCCTCGAAATCCTCCTACAGAAACTAGCCCAAATCCTAGTGACGGTGTGAGCAGATGCCGGATGCTGCCTGCCCCGAGCAAGTTCCCCTAAACCCTAAACCCTATAACCCTGATCTGCGGCAGGCGGCGGAGGCAGCGGCCGAGGAGGATGCAGGTGCGGCTCGAGTTTCCGCATCCTTCTGGGTTTTAGAGCACTATACTTTAATACTTCTTTTGGTTCTGGGTTCCTATCATAGCTACTTAATACCTATAAATCTATAAAGTATATACTTTTTGGTCCAGGCTCCAAAGTAGACCCGACATGAGGTGCCATCCTGAAGGCCAAGTGCCCAGATGCCCCGCGTGGACCTACATCCTAAGCCCGGAGCCCACAAAAACACCTAGGGTTTAGGGTTTAGGGTTTAGGGTTTAGGGTTTAGGGTTTAGGGTTTAGGGTTTAAGCCTTAAGACGTGCTGAACTCCTGAACCTTTTACAAACCAAACCCTACATCCTAAACGTAGTATCCATACAGCGCACTTTTGCAAGCTAAGGCTTTTGGATAGTCCCCCCCCCCTTTACACTTTTCCTTTTCATTGCGTCAGGTTCCCGCAGAAACCCCCATGAACGGTTTGTTGCCCAGAAGACTCAGGAGACTCGGGAGCCTAGTCTGACCGGCTCTTAGTAAGGAATTAGGGAAGTATGTCCCCTTGTATAATCCCTTAAAGGCAAGATGGATGCATCTATATTAGTGGAGGGATATGAGGTGCCTGTCGTTCCCTCGCTCCCTACGAAGAACCAGTACAGTATAGATTTGGGTATAGTTTAGGCCTGCAAGTGTTGGGATCTAAAAGGTGGAGCAGCGCAAGCCGATCCCGCAAACTCGGCTGCAGCGAGCATGAACCCTGAACCGCAGACCCCAAACCCTAAACCCTAAACCCGAAACCCCAAACCCTCAACCCTAAACCCTAAACCCTATAAACCCTAAACCCGAAACCCAACCCTAAACCCTAAACCCTAAACGCCAACCCTCTTACGCTCTGAAAACCTTGATTTCACGGCTAGGCTCTGCGGAGCGTGCAGCGGATGCACGCAGGGTTTGTGGGGACTTCGGGAAGGGTGGACGAAGCATAAAGTAGTTGAGGGTTCATGGGTACTTATAAGCAGTTGTATAAGTACCCTAGACTTACCATACTTATAGCCCTACTTGTCAGTACCCATGAACCTCCAAATAGTGGAGGTAGCTGGTTTAGGTGCGGGCTCCATGTTCGTTCAGGGCTTGGGTTAGATGTAGGGTAAAACCACTCCTGGAAAATGACTAGACGCCAAGTCCTTAGCCGCAGCCCCAAACCCCACTTGTGGGGTTCATGGGTAGTTTCAAGTAGGGTCTTGAGTAAGGCATTTGTACTTACAGCCTTGTTTCAGGGTCCTTATTACCCTACTTAACTTATACCTAAACCCTGAAACCTCAACCCAAAACCCTAAACCCGCCTTTGCCTTTCTGTGGGCGGAGGCAGTGTCACAGCCGGGCATCGTCGCCGGAGAGCCGGATGTACAAAAATGCAAAGACTGCCAGGACTTGGGGTTTAGGGTTTAAGGCTTAAGGTTTAGGGTTTCGGGTTTCGGGTTTCGGGGTTTAGGGTTTAGGGTTTAGGGTTTAGGATTTAGCGGATGTACGATCCTTTGTCACCGGTTGAAGTGGTCGTGATGAAACTTCCTGAAGGGAAGGTGCATGTGTTCCGGCAGTCTCAAAGTCAGTTACTCAAAAGGGATCTCACACACAAATGCAACCCAGGAATTCTTTGACTTCAATGAACTAGGTACTAGTTTGAGAACTTGAAGGCATTGGGCTCCCTAGCCGCTGAACGTTGCCTGGATGTGGGTTTGTTGGTTAGTATGCTATGCTGACCAGGTTCATGGGTCAGTAGGATTCCAAGTATCCCAGAAGTGTCTAGCCAATCATGTCTCGAGTTACCCTGCTTGGAACCCCAGCTTCCAAGCATGGCAGCTTAGATACTGCGCGCCACTTTAGGGTCTCTCTTCAAAGGATAAGAGATCTCTAACAAAGTGCACGCCAGCCCAACTTAAGTCTCTGGAGTTGACCTCAGTCCTCAAGATGTGCGGTTAGCGAGAAGGTTTCGGGAGAAGGTTTCGTGTAGCAGCGGAGCCCGAAACTCTAAACCCGAGCACCCCTGGAGGAGCCTGTGCCGAAAAACCTGATGAAGAAGCAGCTTGTTTCAGCAAGCCAGTGCGATTGAAACTTGAGCTATATAGGGTTTAGGGTTGAGGGAACGGTCCTCCTTTACGGCGTGCCGTTCTTCGAGCCCATCCCCTTCCTCCTTCTCTCGTTTAGGGTTTAGGGTTTAGGGTTTAGGTTTTAGGGTTTAGGGTTTAGGGTGCTTTTTGAAGCAGGGGTATGAGGCTGGCGTGTCACCATCCGGTTTGCGTGGTTTGGTTGGTGCCGCTGCTGTTCGCAGGGTCAGCAGGCCCGGCGAGGCCAGCTAAGCCACAACCCAAGCCCTAAACCCTAAACCGGGTGGACTGCGGGGTGTAGCATGTGCCCAGAATCGACCCGCACGGCCCATAAGCACAAAACCATCAAACCAAAATGTGCACGTGCAGATGACCTGAGGCTGCAAGCCTTGAAATCTTCTTGGAAAAATTGTAAGCAGTCCTATTCATATCTTCTTGGAGACCAGGCACAAGAAGAAGGAATGTCCCGCCCGGATAGTGGAGCGACTTGGCTGGACTCTAGATCATGTGCCCATCGTCTAGAGCTTGGGGTTTCTGATTGTTTCAGGTAGCAGGCCACAGGGTTCCGGGTCTCGAGTTCATAAGGGTTCCCACCTTTTCTTGCTCACAGTTTTTGAGAGGCCCAAGCAAGTATGGACCGCCCTAAACCCTAAACCCTAAACCCTAAACCCTAAACCCAGCTGGTGTCCTGGCAGAGAAGAAAGGAGCCATTCAACCAGCGGCTTAAGCTTGGGAGTCGGCTCAGAGAGCGCTGGGTTCTTAGAGAGCAAGTCTATAGTAAGAATAGTCGCGATCGTACGAGTAACACTGTTATAATAGCAAGGATAGCAGTTCTAGTGATGATAGCAAGAATAGCCATATTAAGAACTATAGTAAGAATAGACAACATAGCAATAATAGCAACAGTAGTAACAGTCGTTCATTGTGATAATTGTAACAATAAGAATGATTAAAAAAACACAGCAATAACTATAACAATAACAATAGTAGTAATAATAATAACAATAATAATAGTAGTAATTTTGAAGATAGAGTAGGATGTCGTCTCCTCAGGTGCATACTGTGCAAGATGCGAATGACACAACGGGTGTACCAGGCCCGTTGGCCCGTTGGAGTTTCTTTGCCTCTGCAAGTAACTCTGGCCCTGGCAGAACTTGGCTCCCTTTCCCGCATGCACTTCTTGCGCAGAACTCCCATCGCGCCGAAGATGCGAACCATTCCGTTCCACACGCTGTCAGCTCTAAGATGCGAACCCCTTCGTCCAGGCGCACATGGATTTCGAATGCGAGAACGTGGAGGCCACGTGCCCCAAGTGCAACGAGACTTGGTCGGGTTGAGGGTATCAGGGCGTTTGCGTTCAAGCCATGGGTTCCGGAGGCAGGACCTAGGAGACATGGTTCCTTGGATTTTATAGGGAATATAAGGGGTACATATGCGCATATGCGCCCGCGTTCCGCGTAGTCGACACCCCCCCCCCCCCCATGGTATGCCCCCCAAACCCTGCCGTCAACCCTAAAAACACCCCCCAAACCCTGCCGTTAACCCTAAAAACACCACGGGAGAGAGAGGCCCTCAACCTAAACCCCAACCCTGAACCCTAAGCCCTAAAGCCTAAACCCACCAATGAACCACAAGGGGGAGGGTAAACCCGAAACCTTGCTTTAACCCTGAACCGTAAACCCAGCACCCCTACAGTCTAAACCCACCGTGAACCACTGGACCAAGGGGTTCAGAGTGAAAGTCCTGAACTCTACCGCCCACAGACGGGGGGTAAAACCATGCACCATGGGGGGAAACCATGCAGAGGGGGAGGGGCGGGGGGGGGGGGAGGGGGGAGGGGAAGGGAGGGGGAGGGGGCGGGGGGGGGGGAGGGGGGGGGGGGGGGCTGCGCCTTTGCTGGCGCATACAAGGGTCCAATAAAGGGCCCAAATTCAGGGACCATGGAAACTATCCGAAGAATTTTGGGGCTGGGATCGAATACAGCGTGCTGACGCCTTGCTCGGAGGTTCGGATCGTTCCCAAAAATTTCTGAAGCGTCTGAGCGTACCCTTACGATGGCTCAAAGCCCGAAGTTCACGGAGGTGGGGTTAGGTTTTTTTGCACCCTGAGTACTATGTTTAGTGAGAACTGAGAGACATTTGGGGTGGGGGTTTGGGATTTACATGGGTTTAGGGTTAAGGGTTTAGGGTTAGGGTTCAGGGCTTAGGGTTTAGGGTTGAAGGTTTTGGGGTGTAGGAACGTGTCACTGAACTCCAAGGAGTCCTATCTCAGGGGCCAGTACACTCTTCACCAGGACTGCCCGCTCATGACAGTGGTTGATGAAGCAACCCTTCTAGGGTTTAGGGTTAAGAGGTTCTTACAGCCACAGACTGAGATCGTGAAAAATAATTAATTTGTCATTTTGGGGTAGTTCTGGTAGCCTGGTGCATTAAGGTTATTTTATCATTTTTTCATATTGTTAGCATTTGGGGCCTGAGGGTTCCGGGTAGCTCCCGTCAAAATTTAAAAAATGATAAAAAAAATGATAAGAAAATGAAAAGGCTTCGCGTTTTGGCGTCTCCGGAGCCTCCGGAGAGCTTCCGGGAGGCCCGGGACCCTCGGGCAGCTCCCGCAAAATGAAAAAAAATGATAAAAAATTGACAAAAAAATGATAAAAAATGATAAACAAATGATAAAAAAACGAAAAAAAAACTTCGCGTTTTGGCGTCTCCGGAGCCTCCGGAGAGCTTCCGGGAGGCCCGGGACCCTCGGGCAGCTCCCCCAAAATGAAAAAAAATGACAAACAAATGACAAAAAATGATAAACAAATGATAAAAAATGAAAAGGCTTCGCGTTTTGGCGTCTCCGGAGCCTCCGGAGAGCTTCCGGGAGGCCCGGGACCCTCGGGCAGCTCCCGCAAAATGAAAAAAAAGTGACAAAAAAAATGACAAAAAAATGACAAAAAAATGATAAAAAATGATAAAAAAAGAAAAGGCTTCGCGTTTTGGCGTCTCCGGAGCCTCCGGAGAGCTTCCGGGAGGCCCGGGACCCTCGGGCAGCTCCCGCAAAATGAAAAAAAATTGATAAAAAATGACAAAAAAATGATAAAAAAATGATAAAAAATGAAAAGGCTTCGCGTTTTGGCGTCCGCGGAGCCTCCGGAGAGCTTCCGGGAGGCCCGGGACCCTCGGGCAGCTCCCGCAAAATGAAAAAAAAGTGATAAAAAAAATGACAAAAAAATTATAAAAAAAAATGATAAAAAAAAAAAGCGATAGTGCAGAATGACCAGAAAGTTGGAAATGATAAACATAATGAAGACGGAATGAAGGAAAAATGACTAATTAAATATTTCTGGAATTCCAGTCTGTGGCTCGGCAAGATTCTCTTAAGTTTAGGGTTTAAGGTTTAGGGTTTAGGGTTTAGGGTTAAGGCTCTGCAAGGGGGAAGGTCCATACTCTAGACAAGGTCACGGAGCTTGAATTGTGGAGTACATATGGGCCGTCCAGCCTTGACACCCGAAACCCACAACCCCATAACCACGAAAGTCACGGGACAAAATTGCCGAGTCCGCGACGTACCTCCAACACCGCGATGTGCCTGCAGCGGCGAAGGCTATCAGGCAACACAAATGTAGAGATCTGACAAATCTGGCTGGCACTGCACCTCGGCCGCCCACTTAAGCCTAAACCTAAGCCTGCCTGCACGCGAGTGTGAGAGTCGAAGCCCTAAACCAAACCCGACACCCTCCTCGGACGCTGGGCTTCGCCCTTCATCCGGTTATTTGTGTCCTACTCTGTTTAGCGCGGCAATGGGAGGCGGAGACTAGGAACGATCAAATAGATCTTACTTCCATAATGTGGATTCCATATTGCAGACTTGTGGTGGTACCCTTTTCCTGTTTTTTTTTTTGGGGGGGGGTGGGGGTTCATGTTCCGTTTCAGTTTGCTGGCACATCTGGGATCATCGAAATTTGCTTCAGGGTTTAGGGCTCTAAAACCCCAACTCCGAAGCCCCTAAACCCTAAACCCTAAACCCCAAGCCCAGAGTGGCAGGAAGAAGACTGCCCAGCACGACCCACCCGTTGCCGACATAAAGCTCTGGGGTGCACGTGGGCAGGCGGGGTGCGCATTTGTGGATGGTTTAGGGTTTAGGGTTTGGGGTTTGGGGTTTGGGGTTTAGGGTTTGGGGTTTATAGGGTTTAGGGTTTAAGGTTTAGGGTTTAAGGGACATGAGGGGATGCTGGTGTCTAGGAGTTTCGGGGTGCTTGGGGCTGACGATGGACTTCACTTCGGATCTAGGGGTCTTGGCCTTTATGGTCTTAGGGGCATGCGGTTTGGAGGTTTTATGATCACTTGAGGTGTACGATGTGGAGGCGGTGTAGTCTTCACCAGGATCCACAGAACCCGAAACTCGAAACGGTTGCTTCAGGGTCCTTTTGCCAAGGGTTGGGCTCGAGGGGGCTTCGTACGCTACGGTTTAGGGTTCGGGGTGTGGAGTGTGGGGTGTGGGGTGTGGGAGGTAGAGTAGGCTTGTTTTGGTGTTTCACGTTCAGGGTTTCATGCACCTTGGGTAGAGTTTCATGGGCTCCCCTACTACCCCCCTCTATACTAAGTTCCTTAGGTTCCCCCCGTAAACAACCTTAATTCGGCTCAATTACCCCGAAAAAGTCTGACTTAAGGGGGGAGCCTAGGGGGTAGTATAGAGGGGGGGGTAGTAGGGGAACCCAAGAGTGGTTGGCTCCCTGATCAGGAGAGTACCGCTATTTGGCCGATCACCTCGACACCTGTATCTTCGAGGCATCTTTGCCTAGTTGCGAGGAACCCTAAAGCCCAAGGTCTTCGAACTCCGAGTCTTGTGTTGGTTTGGGGTTTAGTATTCAGACTCCCCCCACCCATCACCCACCCACCCATCCACCCTCCCCCAAACAAAAAGTATAGAAAGCAACCTCACTGATCTCCACTGCTTTTACATGGTTTAGGGTGTAGAGTTTTGCTTAGGGTTTAGGAGGTTTTGGGTCTGAAGCAGAAGCCGGAGTGCAAGGGTTTGGGGTTCAGGGTTTAGAGTTCTAGGCGCTGCGTAGGGTTTAGGATGAAGTGAGGTTTAGGGCCCCCGTAAAGGCCAATGTTTATGGCGGCACCAACCCTAAACCCTAAACCCTAAACCCTAAACCCTAAACCCTAGTCATTCAGATCCACCCCGGCCCCCTCCCCCCACACAAAACCGGCCAAGCCCGACAAGCCAAGCGGCCTGGGATTTAGGATTTAGAGGTTGGGATGTCCCCCAGTAGGGGGTACGATCATCCCTACTAAGGACTCTTAGAAAAAGGGTGAACAGCCCAAGCTTAGGGTTTAGGGTTTAGGGTTTAGGGTTTAGGGTTTAGGGTTTAGGGTTTAGGGTTTAGGGTTTAGGGTTTAGGGTTTAGGGTTTAGGGTTTAGGGTTTAGGGGGTGCCTGGGTATGCTACATCGACCCGAGCGACTCCGGAGGGTCGCCGCCCAGAAGCACTCAACGCGACTCCGGGGCCCTGCAACCCTGAAACCTTGAAACCGGAAACCCAATAACCCCAAAGTTTAGGGTTTAGGGTTTAGGGTTTAGGGTTTAATTTAAACCCTAAACCCCTACACCCTAAGCCGTAAGCCCCGAAACCCTAAAGCCTATGACTCTACAACCCTGAAACCCTGTAACCCTCTAACCCTAAACCCTGCAGCGGAGGTGCCCCCGGAGCCGCCAGCACCGCCTCCTCAGCTGCCTGCCTCAGAGCTTCCCCCTAAACCCTAACCCCTAACCCCTAAACCCTCAACCCTCAACCCTCAACCCTCAACCCTCAACCCTCAACCCTCAACCCTCAACCCTCAACCCTCAACCCTCAACCCTAAACCCTAAACCCTAAACCCTAAACCCTAAACCCTCCCCCTAACTTTGTAGCTTAGCGGTGGTACCCTTTTGCCCTTTGCTGTGGCTCGAGGTGCCCCTTATAAAGTAGCCAGCCCCCCAAAATAAGGGTTTAGGGTTTAGGGTTTAGGGTGAGGGTTTAGGGTTTAGGGTTTAGGGTTTAGGGTTTAGGGTTTAGGGTTTAGGGTCTAGGGTTTAGGGTTTAGGGTTTAGGGTTTAGGGTTTAGGGTTTAGGGTTTAGGGTTTAGGGTTTAGGGTTTAGGGTTTAGGGTTTAGGGTTTAGGGTTTAGGGTAGTTGCAAAAACCTCTCTTACAGGCCGTGCGAAAGTCAAGGGACTCTACTCGCAACCGTATGGGTAGCTCTCTAAATTACGGTACCTTTTCTTGGGGTCCTGATGGTTAGGGTGCCGTACTTTTTAGAGGACCCAAACGGGGATCCGAATTTTCGCAAACTACCCGTGTGGCTACCCAAAACCCCTCAAACCTTCAACCTACAAAGGCAGTGAATGTGTCGTCTTTGGTGTTCCGGGCCCTTGAGTTCCGATCAAAGCCCCAAACCAAGCCCCAAACGGGCAGCGTGGCCCGTAAACCCCTAAACCCGAAACGCTAAACCCTAAGCCCTGAACCCGAAACCCTACTCCATTCCACTCCAGATCCGAAGATGAAAAATCCCTAGCCGGTTTAGGGCTTTGGGTTCAGAGAGGTTCAGCATGCTTATCTCAATCCTGCTAGAAAGACCTTTCAGGTCCACCACGCGCACACAGAGGTTTGGGGGGAGGGGTTTGGGGGCGAGGTTCTGCAAACGATTTCAGGTGCCCTTTATACCCTAAGCCCCAAACCATCCTAAACCCTAAGCCCTAAACCCTGAATCCCTAAACCCTAGACCCTAAACCCTAAACCCTGAACCCTAAACCCTAAACCCCAACGCGCTGCTTACTGACAAGCAGCCCATGCATAGGGGGCCCGAAACCACACCACGAGCCGAGGCCCAAGCCGGCCTCCAAGCCGGCGGCGCCCAAATCAGTGGCTGGGCCTTTCGTTTAGGGTTTAGGGTTTAGGGTTAGGGTTTAGGGTTCAGGGTTTAGGGTTTAGGGTTTAGGGTTTAGGCCGACTGCCCCAAGCCCGGATGCAAAAGGGTTTAGGGTTTAGCATCAGGGTTTTGGGTGTAGGGTTGAGGGTTGAGGATTGAGAGCACTGCCATCCATGTTGGCGGCATGAGGGTTTAGAAGGTCCCTCCCAGTTGCTGTAAAGCATCTTAGCATAATGTGGCTGCAAAAGAGCGCATGCCTGGAAGCCAAGGGTGAGAAGTGCAGCCCTAAACCCTAAACCTTAAACCCTAAACCCTGAACCGTAAACCCTAAACCCCAAACCCCTCAAGAGGTTGCTGCGCCGAAGCCCAGCGTTCCAAAGCCCAGCGTTCCAAAGCCCGGTGCTCCGGGGCCGATTGGAGCGGGGCCGATTGGAGCCAAGCCGAGTACACCGAAGCCGGCGGCAAAGATGGGCTTTCCGAGGAGCCCGAAGGTTAGGGTTTAGGGTTTAGGGTTCAGGGGTTAAGGGGGAGCGTTGAGGCGCTTCTTGGGGTGATGCTGCTGCGGAAAGCTGGGTCGATAAGGGAGAAGGGGTTTGGAGCGTAGGGTTAGAGTACAAACCTCCCTAAACCCCCAAAAGAGGCTCCACTATTAGGGCTTCTTGCTTGTCCCAACCAGCCCCTCCGGGTCTTGGATCTCAGGGACAGGGTTTATTAAGGGT